CAAGGACATCAAGTGGTCACGATTCCATCTGGGTGATTGTAGATCGTTTGACTAAATCTGCATACTTTTTGGCTGTATGAATAGACTATTCACTTGAGAAGTATGCAGACTTATATGTTAAGCAAATAGTGCGATTGCATGGAGTACTTGTGACCATCACATCAGACCGAGATCCAAGATTCACCTCGAACTTCTGGAAGAGTCTTCATGTGGCTCTAGGTACTAAGCTTCAGTATAGTACCGCATTTCATCCTCAGACAGATGGACAGTCGAAACGGGCGATACAAATATTGGAGGATATGTTGCGGGCTTGTATCATTGACTTAAAGGGCAATTGGGATGAAAAACTGCATCTAGTGGAATTTGCATATAGCAGTAGTTTCCAGAAAAGTATTAGTATTGCCCCATTTGAAGCATTATACGGAAGGGCCAGTAGAACTCCTATCCGTTGGGATGAAGTTGGAGAACGGAAATGGACAGGACCAGAGTTAGTGCAAGCCACTGCCGATACAGTGAAAATAATACAAGACAGACTAAGAACGGCTCAGAGTCGGCAGAAAAACTATGCCGATTGACGTCGGAGGCCCTTAGAATTCAAAGCAGGTGATCACGTGTTCCTGAAAGTATCACCAATAAAAGGTGTATCAAGATTTGAAAAGAAAGGAAAATTGAGTCCCAGGTTTGTAGGACCTTTTGAATTATTAGAGAGAATCAGAGAAGTGGCGTATTGATTGGCGTTGCCACCAAAACTCTCAAATGTACATGATGCATTTCATGTGTCTATGTTAAGGAAGTACGAACCTAACCCTAACCATGTGCTAGATTTTGAGACCATAGATGTCGACGACAAGGTAAAATATGTCGAGAGACCAGTACGAATATTGGATCATGGCGAGCGGACTCTCAGAAATAAGACCATTCCTCTTGTTAAAGTATTATGGCAACATCATGATAATGAGGAGGCTACGTGGGAGAGTGAAGAAGATATGAGACTTCAATACCCACAATTGTTTGAAGGATCAAGTAAGGGCCCAAATTTCGAGGACGAAATTTCACAAGGTGAGGAGAATTGTGGCATCCCCATTTTCGTCAGCTTATTTAATAAGTAAAATCGAATACAGACGACGGAATTTTGGACGTTCTTAGTAAAATTGGAAGACCTGTCAATTTTAGAAATTCGAACGTCATCACGATGTTGTTTGCATTTATTTTATATAAATTATTGGGCGGGTCTCATTTCTTTAAATTCAAACATCAATTATCATGTACCCTATATTTTTTGCCACGACTTCTTTGATGGGCGCACCTAAACTTTAATTTCCATTTTCTATCATCGAAGCCTCTCAACTACTTTCTTTTAATTTCTCTTTTGCTCATAAGATAACACATTTTCTTCTGATTTCTCTTCTTCCCGTTGTTTCTTTCTTTCCTTCGTCCCCGCCAAGTGGCTGGGGTGTTACACCAAGTGGCAACCTTCCCTTCCACCTCCTTTAGCCCGACATGCAAGAGGAACTCCTTCCTTCCTCTTCTTTTGTTCAGTCTCCTTAACATTCTCTTCCTTCTTCGTGAATTCCGCCCGACACTCCCAACGCTATCGGTCGTCGAACTCTGGTCATCGCGGCTTTGCTGGACAAGATTGAACGCCGACGACCTTCTCTTTCCGTTCATGAGCTCTAGAGGCAGGATCGGGAACCAGAACAGCCTCGTTCTTCTCTTTCTCGGTTTGAACTGCTCGGCGCCAAGTCCTTCCACTAGAGGCAAGTGAACTTTTGTCATCCTATACTATCCGATGGTCGCATGCACGAGAATTGGGTCATAGATAGGCTGATCATGTTGTTGTTGTTTGTTGAAATGGTTGTTGGGTTTGTGGAATCCAAGTGCTGTTGGGCGCGGCGAGAGAGGCCGTAGTTGAACAGTAGTGTATCTTGCCTCGCGGTTGTATGTTCGTCGGGCTGTTGGCCAGAGTGTGATCGGTAGAACTTGAATTGAGCGGGTATGCTGAGTATGTCGAATTGTTTTGACCAGAATGAGACTAGAATAGAGGCGGAGTGAATTGAAATTAAAATGGCGAAAGAAGGTAAGTCGATTGATGAATTCCGGGTTAGTAATGAGTTCGGGTGAGTAAGAATAATTATGGACTGCAAGAAGCTGTGAACAGGGGGTAGTTTTGGTGACAAGGAGTAAATTTGAGGTATGAACAAAGTGCAAGGAGGGTCGTGAGGTTCTAGAATTAGCTAGAAGGTTGAAGTTGTAGCGGGGATGAGTAAGTAGTTCAGTATTAGGGTTCGAGACATGGACGGTTCGGTGAGGCCGTCAGTATCCAAATCCAAATCATGAGCGAGAAATGAATAGGAAAGTCGTGTGAGTGTGAATTAGAATAATGTGGTTCATTGCATTTATATTTTGAATAATGATTGAAATAATACGTGTGCTGGAAATTGCTTGAATGAGACAATTGAGAAACCGTCGGACTGTGAATCGATGATGCCCCGAGGAGCCGTAGGGAATGCGGGATGCCATGGTCCGTGGAACCACGATGCGTGGGAGGATTATGCCCCGGATACCTTGGGAGTTTGATCGGGATGCTGTGATCAGTGGATCACAAAGCCTGCGCGGGCTGTTGAGAATTTTGGCGTACACTGCGGCAGACCGGAGGGCGCACCAGATCCTACCAGACAGGAGTTTTCCTCCTTGCGTGATCGGCAAGCGCACTGGGCATGTGACTTGGAGTTGAGAATTAAAGTATAAGTGAAAAGATGAATTGTGTGTGTTCATATGTCTTGAAAGACTGCATGTGATATTGAATTATATCGTGATACTCATGATTGAGGTAAGTTCTTCTAGTGGTTGATAGTCTGGTTGAAATGTTGAACGTGGTTTATGTATGCATGACTTGATTCGTATTCCTTGGTGAGTTATTCGTATAGTATAGCGTGATAGATATTTCATTGCTGAGCTATCGCTCACTCTTGTGGATATTACATTTTTTCAGATTAGTAAATATGAGCTTTCCCCCGCTTGCTGTTCCTGTCATCCTTTTCGGTTCTCCGATTGAATTCGAGGGCCGACTCATCCCATTTACCGACCCGGAGTTCCCTATAGTCCGACTGGTACGAAACGAGGCTACCCTATGGGTGGATGTGGGACTACCCAACCACAGGGTGCCTATCAGGCTGGTTTCGGTTTTCATTGATGTCGGCGGCAATTTAGTGGGACCGCTCAGATATCCAGTGAATGGAGCTAACGGAAGGGGCAGGCGTGGCTGAGCAGGTCGGCGGGAGTTGACTTAGGAAACCATTTTTGAGGCATGACTAGTCGGTTTTTGTGAGGTATGGAGTCATGCTAGTTGGGTGACACCTTTTGACTTATGTTATAGGCGAGACGAGTAAGTGATCCGTTTGGACACAGTTTAGGGATAGAATCCCAAGTCGATCCTCACTCTGTACATCACCCAACATTATAAATAAAAAGAAAGACGAGTTTCCAAGAAAGCGTTGTCATTCTTGTGTTTACTATTTCTGTAATAATCAATCAAATAGCTTGGATTTGAATGGGCATTAGACAGGGTATGAATGGCTAAAAATTGAGTTAACAGGAAATTTGTACTACGCAAATGATAAGGATGATTATTAAGGAAAGAAGGTCTTGTCAAGATTGATGTAATGAGAAGTTTAGGCTTGATTAGTTTATATGGAAATTTATTTTTATATTAAAACTATGTTATAAATGCTGACCTAAAAAGGATAATAACTTCCGCTGGGATATTAACTAAACGAATTTAGTAGGTGATGTGGATAGTATTAGTAAGGGCCAAGCCTTGGATGTTACACTAGGTCCATCGAGATCGAGGCTCGAAACCTTGGTGTTCCTGCCTAGGTCCCGGTGACCAAGCCTGATCGCTAGGTCTTGGGCCTAGCCTCGATGGACCCGAGCTTAGGCATCGGGGACTCAGAAATGGGTACCGAGGTCTCGATCCCGATCTTGATGGACTAGGGCACGGGCATCAAGTCCAAGGTGGCCTCAATAGACTGGGGCCCTACCTCGATGGATTCTGGTGTGAGCGCTAGGGACTAGGGCATGGGCACCTGGGGCTCGGCCTCAATGGATCCAAGCTCGGGTGTTGGGGATTTGGGTATGGGCATTGAGGTCTCGATCTTAGGCACGGAGGACCCAAACACGGGCGCCGAGGTCCCGAGCTCGGCCTTGATGGACCTAGGCTTGGACACCAAGGACCCGGGCTAGGTTGTTGGGGACTTGGGCATGATTACTAGCATCCTAGGCCTAGCCTCGATGGACCACTACTCAAGTATTGGGGACCCGAGAGGGACCTTGATGGACCCTGGTCTAGGCCAGAGCAACGGGGTCCCGCGATCAACCTTTGTGGGCTTAGGCCCATGTGTTAGGGATGTGGGCATGGGCATCGAGGCCTCTCGGACGCGGCCTCTGTGGACCACGGCTGGGGTGCCAGGAAGTCATGCACGGGCATCGGGACCGGTGCTCGAGCTCGGTTCCCCAGCACCTGGGTTGGGGTCCATCAAGACTGGACTTGGAACTCTAGTGTCCATGCTTTATTTGTCGGCTGCCCATGCTCAAGTCGCTAGCATTTGAATTGTATTCGTGTATTTAGGATAGTCAAATATGCTTTTCCTTTTCAAACGACGGAAACAATATCTTTCCGGTTCCTTTTTAGATTTAAGTTAAAACACCAGAAAAGACATTATTATTACTTGGAAAAATGGCTTCCCGTAAAATATTTTTCAAAAAATATAATATTTTCCGACAAAACAAACGTACAATTTAGTAATTTACCTTCGCAGCACCATCACTCATAAACTTTTTCCCATCTAAACCGAAAGCCAGCGAAATTACCAGAGCGCCCAACCCCCCCAAAAGACGCCCGCCCTCCGCAGGGGACAGCGCCGTAAATTCACCGCACCCCGAGGCGAGAAGAAGCCACCGGGCAGCTATTAAGAGAGCCCTCGCAGCTCTTCCTAGGTTTATCTCTCTCTCTCTCTCTCTCTCTCTCGTGGAGACCCGCGGTCGTCACTCGAGCAGCAGCAGCAGCTGCCCTTCTTCCTCCTCCCCCGCTAGCCGGCCCGGCGTCTCCTCCCTCAGGTGTGACTGTAGGGTTTTCATCTCTCGTCCTTCGGATTCCCCATCTCGATCGCCGACCTCCGTCGCGCCGCCGTTCCCCGAAACCCCCCCCCCATCCCTCGCCGAAGCTCCGGTCCCTGTTCTCGCGTGCTCGGCTAGGGTTTCGAGCTCCGATGCCCCCCGCGCGACGATCGTCGGGTCGTTCGGTTTTGAGGAGCGATGTGTCGCGCGGCTTTCTGGGGATTGCTGCCTGGTGCTGTGGGTGGAACTTGCGTTCGATGTGCGGAGCCGTGGGGGTTTAACCGGGGGCGCGGAGCGGTGGACCGATGGGTGGGAGATTGCCGTTAGCTCGACGGGGTTCGGCGTTTGTTGATTTTTGCTTTTTAGTGGTTAGGGAATGGCGCGGGGATTGGTTCATGTTAATTCGGGTGGTTTAGCCTGGAGGATATGTTTCGTTGGCGCCCGAGACGGGTTCTTTGGCACGGCAGTCGCGGTTTGTGGTTTTGCTCTCGTGGTTTTCGTTTGTGATGAAGCACGGCTTGTCTAGTTCGTGTTGAGTAGATCTGATAACACTTGTAATGCTTTGCGCGGCGCAAATAGATCTAAGAGGTGAGCTGTCGATGCACCGACCCTTCCTCTGATGGAAGGATGGGATGGGTAAATGAGCCATGAACAAGCAGACTTGCTTATCTTGTACTGAATTTCGTTTTGTTAGGGAAAGGGGGCCCTTTTTGCTGATTTTACACCCTATAATCGAGCCATAACTATTTGAGTATGGGTAGCTGACTTGGTTCACAGTCTGTCTGCGTTTCTTTTGATTTATATGCTTTTATTTTTTGTCCTTCACGCAATACAATTTGTTTGATTGATATCTAACGTGCAGTTTGGATACCCAGAAGCATTTGAGTCGCATTATTTACCTATAAGATTTTGGTGCAGTAAATGTGTCAAACCCTCAACCAAGAGGGGATAGTGGCATGTCTTCTGTTCTCTTTTCTATTATGAAACGTCACCCTGGCATTTTCTTATTTCATCAGGTTCTTGGTTGTTGTCACTTGAGCTGTTTTAAAGTTGGAGTCGATGATGAAGAAGAAGGATCCTTTGGTTTTTATGGATGTCTCCATTGATGGGGACCCTGCTGAAAGAATGGTTTTTGAGGTACTTAGTTGTGGATGCGAATTTTAATTGTTTTGACATCTGTATGCCTTCAGTAATTGCATTTCTTTTGAAATTTGCTGCGGATTCTTCACAATCCTTATCTGTTGACCGGTTTTCGTGCCAATCCGGTTCGGCAGCTTTTTCCTGATGTTGCTCCAAAGACGGCAGAAAATTTCCGAGCACTCTGTACTGGAGAGAAGGGAATTGGCCCGAAGACGGGGAGGCCACTGCACCTTAAGGGGTCATTTTTCCATCGGATCATTAGAGGCTCCATGGCTCAGGTATGTTTGTTGGTTCGTATAAGAGCTTTGTTCTAGAGCAAGTTTGGCCGTTGTTATGGCTGTGTAAGGCTAAATAGGTCCTTCTTTTGGTCAGTTACCTTTCTTTATGCTGTAGGATACAGGGCTGATGCTCACGACTGCTTTTCTTGTGATATAGTTTTAAGGTTGTACTTACCATGTTGTCCACCCTCTGATCCTTTCTTTGCTTAACATTTCACGTACATTTCATTGAAAATTATCCTTCTTTCCATTGGACTTTTCATTGATGCTTTGTTATTTTTTTTTTCTTTACCTTTTGCAGGGTGGTGATTTTCACAAAAGAGATGGTAAGAATTTTATTCATGACTACCCAATTTGTCTGTTTGTTTGTAATTTCATTTGTCTCCCATGGGTGCTTTCGCGGCCTAAACTTTGGATTTGCTCGTTACGTGGTAATTTATTGAGGTTCTTTTTTTTTTGTCTTTGGTTTCTGTTATGTGCATCTCATTGGTCAAGATGGACAACGCTACAAATTGCTACAGGTGAATAGGCCGAAGGCCATTATATGTGATTATGTGCATATGCGCTACCTGTTACTTATTAGTTAGTTTCGATAAGTCTAGTAGCTACACATTCATCGCACCGTTGCGTGCTTGAAAGCTATGTTACCTTTGAATTTCAGCCAAAAAAAGCTGTTGGGTTTTGAAATGACAGTCTAATGTTCTTGAGTTTTGATAATTATCGATCTTATATTGCTTTTATTGTTGGGGTTCGTCCGGGATGCATACCTTGAAGGTGTTTTTCTTACTTATAGGGCCTAGGTATGATGCTCTTTTGTGTCGGGAGATTTCAATAGTATCTATCGTTTCTTTCTAATTTGTTTATTTAGTGAATGTTTAGATACTATCTGATATTTTCATCAAGATTACGAATAGATGAATTACTGGCTTTTGTGTTTACACAACTCTTTCAGGGCCTGCAATGAGTCTGATATAATTGGAATGTGTATTCTAAATTAAACTTGAGGTGAGTTGATGGTTATTGATGATTATGAAATGTCAAATGATAACTATAAAGGATATTTGGTGCTCTTAGTTTCAGATTTGAAAATGGAGAACGGTGATTAGTTTGTTGGTGACAATGAATTCAAATGGCTCTTCGGGTGCAAGTGTTCTGTTTCAGTTATGTTAATTAATTGTAGCACGTTCTCTCTAAAATTATCGGCTTGACTGAGGTAGTGTCTGGGTATATAAGTTGGAGAACTTCACAGTTCCAAAATATGCATGCAGATGTTTATTGAGCTAATATTTGTTTATAAATTGTATGAACATTTGTTTGCAATCCTATTTTGTTTCCTGCTGGTACAATGATCTAGATATAAAATACATGTTACGTCACAATCCTTTGTGGTGAAAAACTGAATGGCTTTGGTTGTGTCAAAAAATGTGAGGATGGAGATTCCCTGTTATAAAGGTTCTCATGGCTTGACCGTTTTTGTCGCTGGGTTCTGCTGTTTCCTTTCATTTAAAAAATTGATTGGGAGTGTTTTGCAGTTGGATGAAGTGATAATTTGTTGACCACTGTCAACATCGTATGTTGCACTTCATGTCGTCCTGCAGTTCTCAATGTTTGAAATTTGCTTCAAGTTTGTGTATCTGAATGGTAAAATTTTGTATATACTCATTGTTACCTACATTGTTTTGTGCAAATTGGTTAGCAGCTGAACAGGCCATCTTTGATCTTCAATTCTTGGTTAGGTGATCTATGATAGAGGATTTCTCTGAAAATGTTGTACTCTAGATATTTGTGGATAATGCTCAGTTATGAGATTTCCTTTCAGTCGCAAAACTTCATTTGCTTCTTGGACATTACCTAAAGAAGTGATTTTTTTGTCCTGTTTTACAGGTACCAGTGGAGAAAGCATTTATGGGGAGAAGTTTCCAGGTCAGACTGAATTTGCTTGTTGTCCATGTAACACTAGAATAGCATGTTGTCTAAACTTTCCATTATTGCTTCAATTTTCCCTCGTTTTTTTTTTGTATAAATTTGCAATTTTCTGTTACAATTACTAGTTGTAAACTTGTTGATCATTTAAAAAGATCATAGATTTTTCATTGGTTTTGTCAACCTCATCAGCCTTGTATAGTGTCTTCACATATGTGGAGCATTTTGAGGGCAGAGTAATGGGGGTTCAAGGTTTCGAGCTCTTAAACAATGTGGTTTGCTTTGAACACAAGCTTTTGCTCCAAATCATTGGTTGTTGAATAAAAGTATTCTTGTGGCTATTCATCTTATTGTCATCAATCAAAATTCTTCTGATGGCTTCTACTGAATCTAATGGTTTAAATCTATTTTGAAATCAATATCTCATTATTAGGATTTAACTCCCTGAATTGGATATCGTGCTACTGTAGAACGACTTGAATAGTGCTCAATGATAATAAAAATGTGATACCAGCAAGTTCTTTGACTGTTTTTGTATCATCACATGAGAGAACTGATCTTTATCATTGTCGTTTGAGGAGATATAATTAAAGTCCGTTGTATTTACATTTTTAATATATGGAAACTTATATGTGTATGGTGCGGCTTGGTTTGGCAATTTGTGTCAACAATGTGCATTGGCTACATTTCTCATAGTTGGAACATGAAATTTGGTTGCAGCTTAATCCGTCATTTTTTTCTCTCTTCCATTGATGAAATTTATGATGTTTTCTGCTGGTTGTAAGATGTACTGTGTTAATAGCTTTCTGAAGGTTTGCTAGATCACTCTTCTGGTTATTGAACATGTAACATGTAGCAGATTTCTGGGAAACTGTTGGTCCTATGAATCTGCAAGGGAGGAAATGAAACTTCTTTTGGGTAGACATTAAGACTATCAGAACAAACAGTTTACAACTTTCAGTTGTTTTTTATGTGAGCATCCTTTTGTGTGCTAGAAATAGCTATTCTCTCTACTTTTTCATCTCTCGTCTTTGCTCATATTTTTGTACTCATCATCCTGGTTTCACCAAGGGGTGTTAGTCTTTCATTTGTTGGGACTCATTGTGCAAATTTTTTTAGATCAATAAGTGTAGTTTTCCTTTTTGCTGCCATCAGTAAGAGAACACTGCGAACGCATGTCTTAGATCTATATGCATGCTTTTTTGGAGTGCTTTGAAAAGTCTTTTAGTTCATTTTTGGCTGATTGGTTTGATCAACTGGCTTTATTACTGGTGACAATTGCTTCTCTAAATTTCTTCAGATGAGTCCCCTCGGTTGAAGCATGATGGACCTGGTCTTCTTTCTACGTTAGTTGCTGATCGTGATGCTTTAGGTTCTCATTTCTTCATTACCTTCAAGGCTGATTATCATCTTGACAGGTTTGTCTAATGTTCTCGCTGTGTCTTGGGGCTTAGCCCAAGATATAATGATGTCCAGTGTTTTATTGTCTTCTCATTCATTTTAATATTTTTGTGTACTTGACAGGAAGTCTGTGGTCTTTGGGAAGCTTGTGCAAGGGCTTGAAGTATTGAAAAGAATTGAAGATGCAGGTGATGATGAAGGCAGGCCCGCTGTTACTGTGAAAATAATTAATTGTGGCGAATTTTCGGAAGGTAGTGATTCGAGAATTCTAACATGAATCGATATAAGTTGAGAATGTAATCAATCTATGATGAAGTCAATCTAAGTTCTTTGGTCATGTTTTTATGGTCCATTTGTGGGTTTTATGCATAGATAAAAAGAAAGCGAATAAGTTGAAAATGGGCAAGGACACAGCTTCTGAGGCTAACAGTCATGAACCACGGAGAAAGAGTAAACGCAAGAAATCTTCCAGAGATAGAAGGAAGAAAAGAAGAAGATATTCGTCTTCATCGGAGAGTTCAACGGATATTGATTCAGAGTCATCTGAAACCGAGAGCGAGTCTGACTCATATGATTCTTCATCATCTTATGTTAGCTCCTCAAGCGATGACAGGCGCAAAAGGAGGAAGAGATCTTCCAAAAGGGACAAGTCTAAACGTGGTAAAAGAAGGGATAAACGGCGTGATAGAAAACGAAAGAGACGGGATAAGAGATCCAAACGTAGATCCAGAAGGTTGGGCACTCGATTATCTTGGTCATGTTTTTACTTGCATGGATAATTAGACTTCATATCGGACCATTTTTTGGTGGGACTTCAGTGATGTCGGACAGCATGCTCCTGTGCTTCTGGGAAACAACATTAGAATGTATTTAGCTTTAGAGGTTTCTGTTGGAGCTGTTAATTTGCTTCCTTTATAATCTGCTTTTCCCAGATTCGGTTGATATCTTCACTTAAGTTCATGATATGTATCCTTATGGGGCAGTTACTCATCTTTTGACACACAATGCCCCTATATTTACGTCACTGTACTGTTGGTATTATTAACCCACTTCCCTGGCAGTAGACTGATACTTTCCCTTTGTTAGGGCTTTGAATGGTTCTTCAGACACTGAAAGTGCAACTGAGGGTGGAAGTAACCCTGAAGATGACAGTCTGGATGCTCTCGGGAAAGATCGGAAAAAGAAAGATCCTTCTCAAAATTCTGGTAAGTTCTAACTTATTTTGTGTAGTTTCACTTACATGAATGTCATTTCAGAGAGATTGAGATGGTGTAGCATCTATTCTGTTGGGTGATTATTCTGATTCATAATCAGAATTTAGTTGTTGGTATTGCTGTAAAAGCCATACTTGATGGTTTGGAGAGTACTTACTCAGTGAAATTCCACATACTCATCATCATTAATGCTTTGACCAAAAAAAAAGTCATCCTTAATGCCTATCTCATGAGGTCTATAATATTGAACCTTCTTTTGTCTTTTACTGGAAACAATTAAATTCTCCTGGGCCTTCTTCTGGTTTTTTCCAACAAAGGGGAGCAGGGTGCATGGGTACCATTGATTGTGATTTCTATACTGCATGTAAATGGTTGGACATATGTAGTTGGCTGGAAATGGCTTTCTCTCTATTGTTGGTTTTGTTTGTTGAATTGCAATACTTTTATAAACTATAACTAGCGGCTTTTAACATTATAGATGCGGTTGTATAGTTAGAAAGTGAGACTTTGTTATGCAGTTACAAAATGAATCAAAGTGCCATGTGTGGTAGTGTTTGGAATATTATTTTTAAATTCTGTTTTCTTGAACTTTTTGGAGATTATCCAGGTGGTGGTCTATCTCCTGAGTCCATTCAGAGAGAAGGTTCCGATCATCACAAAAAGAGGGACAGTGCAAACTTGCATGGAAATGAAGCAGATGAAAATCTAAAGGAGAATGGAGATCGGCGAAGTAATGGTATTGAAGAGGATGCTCGCTCCAACGGGAGTCCAGACAGACGACCTGATGTAGTTGATGATCATCCAGGAAAATCCAGGTATTCTTGACATCTCAGTTGCTTTTTTAATAGTTTATAGTTCTTCCAGAGTCTGGGAATTTGTCATATTTGAAAAACTGGTGGAGCAGGAGCATGAGCCCTAGTAGTATCAGTCCCCGCAGGAATATGAGCAAGAGCCCTGAGGCAAGTCCAATGAGGGTTATTAGCAGGAGTCCAAGTGTACCCAGTAGGAGCCCTAGCCCTCGTGGTGGGTCGGGCAGAAGCAGGAGTATAAGTAGAAGCCCTGTTCAAAGTGGTAGCAGCAGGAGCCCAGCTAGGAGTAGCAGCCTGAGCCCGGCACGCAGTGTCAGCAGGAGCCCAGTCAGGGGCAGAAATGTTAAAAGTGTCAGCAGAAGCCCTGTGAGAGCTCGTTCTCATAGAAGCATCAGCAGGAGTCCTGTAAGGTCCATCTCTCGTAGGAGTCCAAGCCAGAGTCCTCCAAGAACATCGAGAAAACTGAGAAATAGTAGCCCCGTGAGAGCTTCAAGGAGCGCAAGCCGGAGTCCTGTCAAGTCTTCTCGAAGAAGCATGAGTAGAAGCTCGGGGAGGGCTCCTTCAAGAAGAAGTGGTGGCAGGAGCCCTATCAGAGCACCAAGTAGGAGTGACCGTCGCAGCTATTCTCGTAGTCGTAGCCCCCCTTTGCGTCGTGCAGCTAGATCTCCACCATCTGTTCGTCGAAGGAGTTATTCTCGAAGCGCTTCCCCTGATGGTTCTCCCAAGCGCATTAAAAGGGGGCGAGGTTTCAGTGAGCGGTACTCTTATGCTCGTCGATATAGGACTCCATCTCCTGATCGTTCTCCAGTGAGGTCCTACCGTTACGGTGGCAGAGGTGACCGTGATAGGTAAGTTACATTCTGATCAGGTTTTGTTCGCTACTCATTTTTTTCAATGTTTTTAGCTTATTGTAGCAAGCGGATTTTACTTTGTCTGAGCATGCCTTCAATTCTTTCTAGGTATCCAAGCTACCGGAGGTACTCCCCAAGGCGTTACAGAAGTCCTCCTAGAGGAAGAACTCCTCCCAGGTGATGTGCACCAAACTAGAAATCAAAACCTTTTACTTCTCTACTCTCAAGCCCAGCCTAAGAATTATTGCGAGCTGGAAATAAGAAGAGTTGCTTTTATGCAAAAGTTCTCAATCCAGCCAAGCTAACATATATTGGAGGCTGGCTAGGACCTTCCTTGACTCTAATCTGTATATAAACTTCTTACTGTGGAATATAATGACACAAATGCCTTTATTTCTTGTTAATGATCTTCTTTTTGGACCTGCAGATACAGAAGCAGACGGAGTCCTTCTGTTTCACGTAGCCCTCGTTATCGAAACCGTCGACGTAGTCCAAGTCATAGCCCCATTCGAGATCGTTCCCCAGTCGAGGTGTCTAAATCTCGTTCTTCCCCTCGCGATGAAAGGCGGAAATCGTCTTCTAGGAGTCCAAGCCGGTCAGCATCAAGGTCTTCAAGGGATTCACCTCCTCCTCCCAGGTGTGCAAGCAAAGACAGATCCCAGTCATCATCCGGGAGCCCAGACGGAAAGGGTCTGGTAAATTATGAAGATGGTTCTCCAGATTCTAGTAGAAGATGAACCTGTAATATGGGTGTGGTTATGTTGTGGAGCTTTAACCGTTATATTATATCCATGCGTGAGGATCTTTATTAATGTAGTTTATAGCCTATTGAATTTAGGCAGTGCCTTGTTGGAATCGGTACTTGCAGACTGAAGTTTTGAACTGTAGTTCTCAGTTACATTTTTGTGAATTTTAATGTTTGGTATGGCAAATATTGCGAGGACAGTACAAGGGATCTTGTCAGCCAGATTGATTCGTAGGGATTTCATTTGGACTAAGTATGTACTCTTTAAAATGTAATTCTGGTGTATGCGTGGCTTGCTGATCAGTCTTCTAAACCCGAGATGGACATCGGCTGGGGTCAGAACTTTCCGACCGTCAGAGTGGTGCATGCATGGCTTGGCTTGCTGTTATTAGGCATTTAGTTCGGTATGCTCCTGAAGCACCTAGTAGAGACCTCGTTCTCTTGCATTTTGAGCCCTCAATGCTTCTCGTCTTTAAGCTGTTTTTATACCTTCCTTCTTTGCGATTTACAAAGTATATTTTTCTTCGTGTTTCACATAAGCTTCTCTCAATGTTGCTTGAGATGGACTAGTAGTTATGCTCAAGTTTTTGTCTGGTCTCGATGACGAGAGCCGTTTCTCCTCTCTTCTCTTTTGCCTGTTTTTTCTTTTCTTGAAGGGCATAATTAGTCTGTTTTGCAATGTCTCTTTATGGGATGATCAAGTCGATCGACTCTTGATGGCCTGACTACTATGTCTCTTTATAGGTTAGAATATGCTTCTCAAATGTTTGTCCACACATTGATGATGCATTCAAGGTCATTTGTGCTTTGTTCTTCAAGCTTGTTACACCGAAGCGTGGAGATACTTCCAAAGCTCTCACACCTTGGAACTATCTCCACCTCAATCACCACCTAGGTTTGCAGAAGTCCCACCTTTCTTCAATCACACTTCGAGAGCCTCATCCTCATCTTCTTTACTACAACTTTTGTTGCCTCCGAGAAGAAGACAGCAACATGTCCACCGTTCGGATTCGTGACACCATCTCCGAGTGCATCTCCCGAGCTCAGTCGGACTCCGACGAAGCGAAGGAGAGAGCCCTTCAGATGCTCGCCACGATCACCAAAGTCAGCCCTCTAAACCGGAGCCTGCTTGCTCAAGCGGATGGAGCAATCCCTGCTTTCCTAAGGCTTGCCGAGTCCGACTCTCGTGTTCTCCAAGCCCTGTCGCTCTCCATCCTCTTCAACCTCTCCCTCAACCCGGACCTCAAGCGACTCCTGGCAGACATGGAGACCATCCACCATCTCAACTCCATTATCCTGTCTCCTAGCTCCCCTGAATCCAGCAGGCTAGCTGCCTCCCTCGTTTGCAGTCTCTCCATGCTCGACAAGAACAAGGCCAAGTTTGGGGTCGCGGGGACCGTCCAAGCATTAATCAAGGCGATCTCTGGGCCACACACTGTGGCGTCGCACCACTTGCTGAGCTCACTGGCTGAGCTCGTGCAGTTCCACGGCAATTGCACCCTGGCCGTCCGATCGGGCGCGGTACCAATGCTCCTCGGGTTGGTGGCGAGCAGTGAGGGCGAGGACTTAGCAGGGACCTCCTTGGCCATTTTGAGCCTCCTAGCCCGGTTCGATGAAGGACTGAACGCATTGATACGGACGGATAAGATCATCACCTCGATGATGGACGTGTTGAAAGGGAGGTGTATGCTGAGCAAGGAAGGTGCGGCCGAGATCCTTCTCCGGCTCTTCGACGAGAGCGAGGGGTGCACTCGCGAGGCTCTGGGATTGCCGGAGTTCTCGACGGTTCTGGCTGATCTTTCGGTTCGAGGGTCGGCGAGGGCCCGGGAGAAGGCCAGCTTCTTGATGAGGAAAGTGATGGAGGCTGATTCTTATGCTGATGGGAACCAGTTGCTCCTCCATTGGTAATTTGAGGTTGCTTTGTCCAAGGCTTGCCTAGGGAATCTATCAAATCAGTTTGGTCATTTGATTACAGCTTCTATTCTGGTCAATTGTGTGAGAAATGATGTTCTATGATTTCAATTTTGTCATGTATAATTATGGAGGAATTTATCTTTTCTGATGGGATAAGGATATTAGCACTCTCACTTGATAGTAAGTTATACATCATTTTATAGCACTTCGGGTGCCAAAAAAACAGGGAAAGATTGTCTTGCATTGGTGAATTTCATAGAAACGTTGATGAATCTCGAATATTGATAGTAATAAAAAAAATCGGTCAGTAAATTGCTTGTACAAAAAAACTTGTTCAGAAATTCTGAATCCAGCTGGCATGACTCTCGCTGTTCATCTTAGGAACGATGATGACCTCGTGGCCACGTATTTTTAAATGAATGAAGGCCACATATTCATCAGTGAAAAATATTAAAGGTTTGATTTGTTTCGCGAAAAATATTTTGCTAGAAAACATTTTCGGTGTTTGGTTCGCTTAGAAAAATGAATTAACGGAAGATATTTTTCTAGTAAACGGAAAATCTATGCTTAAATTTAGGAACTGATTTTCTCTTTAAAAATCGAAAATAATTTTCTAAAATATAACTAGGTATCGGTACTTAAATCCGAAATTTTACGCTTGTGCATGGAAACTCTAACGTTGATTCCTGGCTCCTCGAAGTCTAGGACTAAGTCTTTGGGGCCCGGACCTGCGTCCATTGAGGTTGAGCCCTGGCACGCGCGCCTAAATTTATTGAGGTCGAGCCCAGGACCCTGGTGCTCGATTCCATTGAGGCAAGGCCCGAAGCCCTAGTGCCCGTGTCCAATTCCCCATTACCCGAGCTAGGGTCCAAAAAGGTGAAGCGCGGGATCGCGGTACCCGAGCGCGAATCCCCAACACCCAAGCTCGAGTTGACAAAGGCCGTGGTCGGGTTCATCGGGGCCACACCTGGGAGTGCAGGCATCCAGGTGCCTATGTTCCGATCTCTAGCGCCTGGGTTGGGGTCCATCGAGGTCAAATCTAGGATTCTAGTGCTCATACATGGTTTTCCAGTTATCCATGCGCAAGTTACTAGCGCCCAAGTAGTGTATGTCTATATAAGAAAATCAAATAAGATTAACAAACTAAACTACGAAAGATATTTTCTAGTTAATTTTCAGATTTCAGCTAAACACCGAAAAATATTGTAATTTTTCCTAGAAAATGATTTCTTGGAAACATTTTCTTGAAATGTCATATATTTCACGAAACAAACGCAACCTAGGAGAAAAACCGAAGGAGGACTGGGAAAATGATGTTCATGCCAAATTGGGACGACGTAAACTCAATTAAACGATAATAATTTTTTTTTTCAGAATTCTTGTTAAATAAAATTCAAATTCATATTACTAGAATGAAAAAGCAAAAAAGCTGGAGATAAAACTCCCAAAAGACTATCTAATAGGGGTGAAGAAAAGGAAACGCCAGGATTGATTCGAATCGGCATTTCTGGGCAGTACCCGGGGGCACCGGTCTGGTTCCTAGTTCCAAAATATTGGAACCGGTGATTTTCGATTCGGTTCCCGGTTCCATGTGTGGAATTGCCCACTTGAACCGGATTGATTTTTTTATTTATTTTAATTTCTGCCAAATCTATAACCCTAATTCATTTGTATCTCTCACTCCTCCGACGACTATGATGCCTCTGTTCGTCTCCGACGACAAGTTCTCTCGCTGCTCCCCCGATGCCGCCCTGGTCGCCGAGAAAGCCGATACTTTCAACCACAACCTTCAGAAGGAGCTCGACTCCTTCAAGGCCTAGCTCGACGCCTCCTCCATCACCGCCGAGCATACCTGCTCCCCCCTCGAGCAGAAGTATCTCTCTCTCTCTTTCTCTCCTCCGACTTCTCCCAGCTCCAGTCTCATTCCCTCCACCTCCAATCCTCCCTGGATTAGCGCCTCTCCGACCTCGCCGGCCTCCGGTCTCGGAAGAACCACCTCTACCTCCAATGCGTATCCTCCTTCCCACCCGCCCTCTTCCCGTTGCTCTTGATTTTCCCTTCTCCTTTTTCATTTATTGTGGTTTCCTATCGTTTTGTCTATGGAAAGGGATGGCCAGATAGAGAGGCTGGCCACCGAGGTTTCTGAGCTTCACAAGTCTGAAGAGGCAGCTCATGGAGTTGGCAGAGCACAAGGACCTTGAGCTTTCTGAAAAGAATGCACTGGTTGCCAGTTCTTAGGTGGGAACCCGACCGCCTGGGAACCGATCGCCCCTACTACCTAAGCTAAGCGGCTGCTTAATAGAATTCGATCGGAAGTTTCAAAATAATTTCTGACTAATAATACACCTTCGTATTTTTGACATAAAGTATACGTCGAATTGGGAGTTCCGAAAAACTTATGGAAAGGGCAAGAGTTGAAAATAGAAGTCGCCCCCATACATGTTTTAAATAAATAAATCGATATTTCTGAAGAAATAGTTTCTAGATTTAGCATTAGTCATTACTTGCATTTCTATTTTTTTTTTTGGGTAACCGAGGTGTCCGGGCCAGCTTGCGCGCACCTCGCCTATTCCTCGGGGGAGACTAGCACATCAACCCACCGTCATGGCCCCCCACTTAAATCACAAGTGCTCAGCTGGGGAATCGAACCTGGGACCAGTGCGCCTAACCACACTATCCCAAATACGCCCTAACCAACTGAGCTACCCATGGGTGGGTGCATTTCTATTTTTATTATCCTTTGTTTCATTAAATTAATCTCCGTCCGCGAAAACTCTTTCTTGCCGCAGTGTCACATCTACAGCAATTCATTATGGCAATTTCATGACAAACTTCTACTGCCACTGGAACAATAGGTCATTCCAGTTGCATTAATAAAAAATTTCTGTTATCAGCATTTATTCAATTATTAACACCTCACTAGGCGTTCCAATAAATTACCAACGTTTACTTCCAACTTATTAGCGTGTTGAAGTTACCAACTCTTCTAGGAAATTACTAATCTTAATTTGAGCGAGCTATCGATTTTTTATGATAATGTTACCAACTAGTTTGAGATTACCCTTTTATTATTTGAGCCACTTTTCATGTTACCGACGTTGATTGTGTTGGTTCGGAATTACCACATTCTCTAATGGCATACTGATTCGATTGGGATTACCATTTCCTTCGTGATATCAGCAACTTTATTTGAAATACTTACCGGCCTTTTACTCGAATGAAGTTGCCGAATAATTTTTGGTTACCTACTTTTATTTGAATTACTTACTAATGTTCATTTGGTCGATGCCGTTCATATTCTTGAGCTGCGACGAATCAAAAAGTAGTTGTTCTCCTTTCGAGAAAGCATTTTACATATCATTTGCCCAGCCGCCGTGGTGGAACCAATCCACATTGTCCACGTGATGTGCCTCACAACAAACTATGCATTTGAATTTGAAAATTCTCACATGTCATCGTCTTGGTTCGTCACGTGGCACTACCACGTGATACCTACCTTTTCGTGTTTTAAAGACCACTTAATTACAAGTTGCTCTTATCGTTCGACCATATTTGGGACAGAATCAAGAACGAAATCATGTATTAAGTAGATGGAGAATCAGGTTGCCTTCCTTTAACCCAACCTAAGTTTGAGATTTTTCTTTTCCTCCACAGCATCCAAGCAATAATTCTAACATATATATATATATTATCCATGTTTTTCCTTATTCAGTATTTTTTTTTCTTAAGTCTTTTGGCCGTCTTTTGCTTATTCAACTTAGCGGCTATGTCAATCACTACAGACATGTATCAACTTTATGCTTCACCGAAGTCCCACAAATTTTCTCACAAGTTTTGTCTAATTGCAAGATCAGGGAGTTTGACTGACATTGTTTTTTGCTCTTGTCCTCTGTAATTCCTGGTACTCTGTCACCTGGTTCGATGAGTACCACGGAATGGCTCTCCGGTATCCTTCCGTCTGATGTTATGGTCAAAATCCTTGCTTGCTTACCAGCTCGGTCTCTCGTCCGGTTCCGGTGTGTCTCCAAGTTGTGGCGTTCGCTCTTCTCCGAGCCGTACTTTGTGGCAATGCGGATGAAATGCAGCGGGACCACCCTCCTGGTGGTCCCATTGCAATGGGGAAATCGCGAACAGTGCTCTTTAGTGTTTGAAAACGTGTCTATCGGGATGAAGAATTTGAAGCTGCCATTTGGGAATAGATGGTTCTCGTTATCCATGGTTGGTTTGTCTAGCGACGGCGCTCTAATTTGCTTGACCGGGCTTTTGTACGCACGCCATCGCGAGAGCAAGCAAGCTATTATCCTGTGGAGCCTGTTCATGGGCGAAATCAAGGTCCTTGGCAACGAGGGTGGCGTCCAAAGCCGTCGTTGGCCCGTCTGCACCAAATCTCTAGTGCAGGGTTACAATTCAGCATGCTGCAATCAATATCTTGTCCACGGTTTCAAGTACGAGCCAAATGCCCAGGACTACAAGGTCGGGAGGATAACTTATTTGCACGGCGATGCGAGAGAGGCTTATTCTCTGATAAGGCCATGGCATGTTAGAGGTTTATAGCCTAGGCAGGGACACATGGAAGAGCCTGGGCAGGCCCAATTTCACTTGGACAGTTCGTGGCAATTCGCAGGCATTTGTTAACGGTTCTGCGCATTGGCTCGCGGCTCCTGCGGCGGCGGTGCCAAACGACTCAATCGTGGCCTTCAATATGAAGGAGGAATCATTCGGAGAAGTCATTGAGCTGCCCCAATCGGCAAATCTCTCACAATTCTCTCTGAATCCGAGAGGCAAAGCGACGCTCTCAGTGTCATGCAGTTCACTGACTCTGATTGCTTTTGGCGAGTGGAACTGAGAGGAATGTGGCATTTGGGTGATGAAGGAGTACGGCATGGCCGAGTCGTGGACCAAGCAGCATCACATTGTGCTACCGATCGGGTCGACGGCTTGAGCGGCGTTGGGGCTTACCGAGCATGGCAAGATTTTGCTTCGTATGACTGATGCGAAGTTGGTGTGCTGTGATGTGGAGGATATGCAGATCAGTGAGGTTGGAATCTAGGGAGATGGCCTTGAGTCATCTTTTGATGTCATTGATTTGGGAGGAGCAGATCCTACTCTCTGGAACCAAGCAGGTCGAGGTTCAATGTCGACCATAATCAACCTCCTATAAAGAATTAGGTTTCTACATTCACAGAAAATCTACATATTACTTTTTTCAAAAATAGATACTTATCATCCAAGTTCGGCACCTATCTAACAAAGATTGGTAAGAATCATTATGATTAACAAATATATGTATTCTTATGTGTCATTTAGAAATAGTTCTCTTTGTAATATAAATAGGGAAAATGACATAAATGATCTTTGAACTTTGACCCAATGTGCAATGTGATCCATGAATTTTTAATTTGTTCAATGTAGTCCATGAATTTTTAATACATGTTCAAACTAGTCCCTGGATTATAAAAAAATGTTCAATGTTGTCATTCCATTAATTTAAGTTCAGGAATAACATTGAACATTTTTATATAGTCCATGGGTTTTAGTAATAAAAGCCACCTCAGACTTTTTTTGGTAAGGTTTTTTTTTTTTTTGGTAAGGAGCCACCTCAGACTTTTCCACCACTAAAAGCTAACAAAGCTAACGGAGGAGCTAGTGTGGAGGATGACGGCAAGTTTTAAAACTTAAATGCGCGAAATAAAAATTTTAAGGCTCAAGATGCAGATTGATTTAAGTTTTAGGAATCTTGCTGTAATCGTCCCGTTCAAAATTGTAGTGAGTTCACGTGTTCTATACACGAGCTCAATAAATCTAATTTATCAGCATCTTGAATGAGAACACGCTTATGCAAAAAAATTGTCTTCAAGATAAACAGTTTTCAATTTTTTGGGACCAGTTATTCTTATATCATAGATCTTAATAATATTCACGCATAAAATATTTGAACTCTTAGAAACTAAAGAACATAATCTTACTTCAATGTGATTTGTTATAGTGGGCTAATGAGTCACATAGATGAGTTCTTAATACTAACGTGCAAAAAACTTTGATGTGGTTTCTGAGGGAAAATTATCCAAAAAGTCATAATGTACGGACCACGGAGGCTAATTCAGTCATTAACTTTTCAATCTTGCTAATTTAGTCTTAAATCTTTTAATGATTCGCCAATTTAGTCATAAACCTTTCAATTATGACAATTTAGTCCTAAACTTTTTGACGATTTGCCAATACAGTCCTTTCGGCCAAATATCCAAATAATATGTTTAAGACTAAATTGACAAATCTTTGAAAAGTTTAGAAATAAATTGACACAAAGAAAGGGTGTACGACTAAATTGGCAAATCGTGAAAAGTTTATTGCTAAATTGGCATTATTGAAAGGTTTATGATTAAATTAGTTGCCATATAATAGGATTAAAATTTTTTGAACAATTATTCCCGATTTCTTATGTTTGGCTCATGGGTTATATTGATAAGTTCAAGTGACCTGCAGCTGCATCTTGCATGACAATTCACCTTCGCAAGCATTCCAATAAATTACCAATATTTAATTCCACAAACTTTGAAACAAATGAATAAATAATGTCAAGGAAATAATTTCTAGATTTAGCAAATTATTTCAACGACAATCAAACAATTTTCAGTTATTATCGTGATTTCTATTTCTTCCCTTGAGTATTTCTATTTTTATATCCTTTGTTTCTCTAAAGTATTCTCAGTCTCTGAAATCTCTTTTTCTTGCCGCAATATTGTGCTGAGAGTCAAGGAACCGTCACGCCCGCATCCTCCTATATTAAATTACCAATATTTACTTAATTATTAACAACTTAGTTAGCGTACCAATAAATTATCAAAATTATTTCCCCAAGATATCAAACGTGTTGAAGTTACCAATTCTCATATGAAATTACTAGCTTTTTCATGTTACCAACTAGTTCAAGATTACCAATTTTTGTTTTAGCTACTTATCAAGTTATCAACATTCATTACGTCGTTTCGAAATTATCAAATTCTCCAATAACATACCAATTCTATTAAAATTACAAACTATTTTATGATATTACTCTTTATTTGAAGTGCTTATAAACTTTTTTGATGAAGTTACTAACTAGTTCTTGTTACCTACTCTTACGCGAACCACTTACTGATGTTTATTTGATCGATCTCATTCATATGCTTGAGCTGTGATGAATCAAAAAGTAGTGTTCTCCTTTCTTGGAAGCATTTTGCATATCGTTTATATGGCCGACGTGGTGTGACCAATCCACATTGTCCACGTGGTGTGCCTCGCAACCAACTACGCATTAGAATTTGAAAATAATTCTCACACGTCATGCATGGCATTGCCAAGTGGTACCTCCGACGTATAAAGTTCCTTCTTATCTTTTAAAGACGACTTAATTACAAGTTTCTCTTATTGTGCGGACGTATTTGGGATAGAATCAGGAACAAAATCATGTATTATGTAGATGGAGAATCAGATTACCTTCCTTTGAACCAACCTAAGTTTGAGATTTTTCTTTTCCTCAGCAGTATCTTATTTATATCCATGTTTTTCCTTATTCAGTAATTTTTCTCAAGTTTTTGGCCGTCTTTTGCTTATTTAACCAACCGCTACCACAAACATATATCAAGTTTTTGCTTCACCAAAGTCCCCCAAGTTTTCTCACAAGTTTTGTCTAATTGCAAGGCCAGTGAAAGTGACTGGCACTGTTTCTTGCTCCTGTCCTCTTTAATTCCTGGCAATCTGTCTCCCGGTCCACAGGTACCATGGATTCGCTCTCCGGTATCTTTCCATCCAATGTTATCGTTGAAATCCTCGCTTGCTTACCAGCCCGGCCTCTCGTCCGGTGTCGGTGCGTCTCCAAGTCATGGCGTTCGCTCTTGTCTGAGCCGTACTTCGTGACGAAGTGGTTGAATCGCGGTGGGACTTCCCTCCTGGTGGTCCCATTGGAATGGGAAAATCGCGACAAGTGCTCTTTAGTGTTCGAAAGCGTGTCCATCGGGAAGGAGAATTTGACGCTGCCATTGAGGAACAGATTGTTTTCATTATCCGTGGTTGGTTCGTCCGGTGATAGTGCTCTAATTTGCTTGACTGGGCTTTCTTATGTACGCCGTAGTGCGAGCAAGCTAGCCGTTATCCTGTGGAACCCGTTCACGGGCGAAGTCAAGGCTCTTGGCAACGAGGGTTTCATCTATTGCCACCATAGGCCCCTTTGCTCCGAATCTCTAATTCAGGGTTACAGTTCGGGATGTTGCAATCAATATCATGTCCACGGTTTCGGGTACGAGCCAAATGCCCGGGACTACAAGGTCGTGAGGATTACTTATTCGCGGGGCATTGCGAGGCCAGGTGATTCTCTGATAAGACCATGGCATGTCGAGGTTTATAGCCTACGCAAGGACACATGGACAAGCCTGGGCAGGACCTTTTTCAAGCGGATGATTCGAGGCAATTCGCGGGCATTTGTTAACGGGTCCGTGCATTGGCTCACATCGCCTACAGAGGATGCACCTTATGACTCAATCGTGGCCTTCGGCATGGAGGAGGAATCATTTGGAGAAGTCATCGAGCTGCCCCGATTGGAAAGTCTCTCGCAATTCTCTCTGAACCCGAGAGGCAAGGCGACGCTCTCAGTGTCGTGCGGTTCACTGGCTCTGATTGCTTTCGGCATATGGAACAGAGAGGAATGCGGCATTTGGGTGATGAAGGAGTACGGCGTGGCCGAGTCTTGGACCAAGCAACATCACATTGTGCTACCGATTGGGTCGACGGTTCGAGGTGCCTTGGGACTTACCGGGCATGGCAAGATTTTGCTTCGCATGATTGATGAGAAGTTGGTGTGTTGTGATGTGGAGGATATGCAGATCAGTGAAATCGGAATCCAGGGAGGCAGCCCGGAGTCGTCTTTTGATGTTATTGATTTGGGAGGAGGGGATCCTACTCTCAGGAACCAAGCGGGTCGAGGTTCACCGTTGACCGTGCTCAACCTCCAATGAGAATTGGGTTGCGCAATAGTTACATAAATTTATTTATGCTTTTCAAAAATAGATAATCATCTATTATTTTTGTAGTTTTGATGTTATACGCATTTTGTTAAATGAACAAATTTAAACTTTCAGAACTCAAATGTTAGATTGATACAAATTTTAGGACTTCTGCTATAATTGTTCCGTTCAAAATTGTGGCGAGTTTATGTGTTACATAGATAATCTCAAGAAATCCAATGTATCGGCATCTTGCATGAGAATAGCCCTATGCAATTAAATTATCTTCAATATAAGCAGTTGTCAATTTTTTTGGACCGGTTATTCTTCTATGATAGATCTTAATAATATACACGCACAAAATATCTGAACTCTAAAAAATTAAAGGGCAAAATTGTACCCTCAACGTGATTGTCATAGTGGGCTCACGAGTTATATAGATGAGTTCTTAACATTAAAAGACAAAATCGTACCCCAATATAGTTTGTCATATAGGGCTCATGACCTATATTTATATCTTGCATGACAATACACCTATTATTATCAATTTTAGTTATATTCAATATGAGTTTTCTAGTCTAAATGTAATAAATTGTATACAAGGGATGCGCTATTAGCACACCATTTTGGCTAAAAACACAACTTGTTAAATGAAATGACCAATATGCCCTATCTTCTCTCTCACCCTTTTATCGTTGGGTTAATACCGCAAAAAACCCTAAACTGGTACACCTGCCCGTGACAAATTTATCCTTAATTAGTTTCCGTTAAATTTTATTGTCAAATTGCTGAGTTCGATGACACGTGGCAATTGACGAGTGTACTAGTTTATGATTTTATCCCTATGTTTGTCACAGATTTATCAGTTTATAATTTTTCGTAGTATTAATTCAATTTAACTACGGGTAAATTTGTCACAAGTGTACTGATTTGGGGTTTTTGATTGTCAAAAAATAAGTTTGGAGTAAATTTATCACAGGTGTACCAGTTTAGAATTTTTCGTGGTATTAACCCTTTATCTTTCTCAGTTTTCTTTTCTCATTATGGATAGATTTAGATATTTCCCAGGTACTTAGCCCCTCTTGTTAGTTTCTTGCCACCATCTCATCCATCGATCGAGTGTTTATCCATAATTTCATCTCCGAAATAATAATAGATGGCATTTTGTGTTTGATTGAGGATTTAATTTAAGTAAGGTTAGAAATTAAGTAGACTTTTCATCTAACTTATCTTGGTTCATTGCATGAAGGAAATTGCTGGTTAGGTGTTAGAAGTTGGAAAAATTATAAAAAAATTTCTAAATCTATTGCAATTGTGTTAATTCAATTATAAACCCTTTTTTATTGGCTAATTGAGTCCGAAACCTTTTGTATTTGTGTCAATTCAGTCAATCCGATCAATTTTGGCAGGAAATCGCTAACATGGATGCTAATCATCTTACGTGGTATTGCCGGCTTTGACATTGACAATTTTTAATAATATCTTAATATTTTTTTAATTTTTTTATTTCTTGTTTCTTTTGTTTTTCTTTTTTATTTCTTTTCTTCTTCCTTTAGCTGGCAATGGTGAGCCTCGCCCGCCCTTGACGAGGGTCATTGTAGACATGGATGTCGGCTGTCCTAGGTGGCGCAGCCGCTGACATGGATAATTTTTAATATTTTTTTGAATTTTTTCCTTTCTTATTTCTCTTGAGTATATCTATAATTATATCCTTTGTTATATTAAAATTATTCTCACTTTGTGAAATCTCGTTCTTGCCGCAATATTGTGCTGAGAGTCAAGGAGCCGTCGCACACGCATCCTCCAATATTAAATTACTGACATGTATTTGATTATTAACAACCTAGTAAGCATACCAATAAATTATCAAAACTCTTTTCCCAACATATCAACGTGTTGAAGTTACAAACTCTCATACAAAACTGCTAACTTTATTGTGTTACCGACTAGTTTGAGATTATCAAATTATACTTTAGCCACTTACCATATTACCAAAGTTGATTACGTCATTTCGGAATTACCAAATTCTCTAATCGCATATCAATTCTATTGAAATTACCAACTATTTTATAATAATACTCCTTATTTGAAGTGCTTACCAAATTTCTTGACGAAGTTATCAACTAGTTTTTGTTACCTACTCTTGCTGGAACCACTTACTAATGTTTTTTTGATTGATGTCATTCATATTCTTGAGCTGTAATGAATCAAAAAATACTGTTCTCCTTTCGAGGAAGCATTTTACGTATCGTTTACATGGCCGACGTGGTGTGACCAATCCACGTTGTCCACGTGGTGTGCCTTGCAACCAACTATGCATTAGAATTTGAAATTCTCACACGTCATCGTCTTAATTAGTTCGTACGTGCCATTGTCACGTGATACCTCTGACGCACAAACTACCTTCTCATCTTTTAAAGACGACTTAATTACAAGTTGCTCTTATTGTCCGGACGTATTTGGGATAGAATCCGGAACAAAATCATGTATTATGTAGATGGAGAATCAGATTGCCTTCCTTCGAACCAACCTAAGTGTCAGATTTTTCTTTTCCTCCACAGTATCTTATTTATGTCCATGTTTTTCCTTATTCAGTTATTTTTTTTAAAATATTTTGGCCGTCTTTTGCTTATTTAACCAAAGTCCCGCAGAGTTTCTCTCAAGTTTTGTCTAATTGCAAGATCAGAGAGTGTAACTGATATTGCTTCTTGCTTCTTGCTTGTCCTCTTTAATTCCTAGCAATCTGTCTCCCTGTCCACATGAGTACCATGGATTCGCTCTCCGGTATCTTTCCATCCAATGTTATCGTTGAAATCCTCGCTTGCTTACCAGCCCGGTCTCTTGTCCGGTGCCGGTGCGTCTCCAAGTCGTGGCGTTCGCTCTTGTCCGAGCCATACTTTGTGACGAAGTGGTTGAATCGCAGCGGGACTTCCCTCCTGGTGGTCCCGTTGAAATGGGAAAATCGTGACGAGTGCTCTTTAGTGTTTGAAAACGTGTCCATCGGGAAGGAGAATTTGAGGCTGCCACTGGGGAACATATGGTTTTCTCTATCTGTGGTCGGTTCGTCCAGCGACGGTGCTCTAATTTGCTTGACCGGTCTTTCTTACGTAAGCCATCGTTCGAGCAACCAAACCGTTATCCTGTGGAGCCCGTTCACGGGCAAAGTCAAGGCCCTTGGCTACGAGGATTACATCTACTGCCACCATAGGCCCTATTGCTCCGAGTCTCTAATTCAGGGCTACAATTCGGGATGCTGCAGTCATTATGATGTCCACGGTTTCGGGTACGAGCCAAATGCCCGGGACTACAAGGTCGTGAGGATTACTTATTCGGGTGGCGTCGGGAGGCGAGCTGAGTATCCGCTAACACCAAGGCGTGTCGAGGTGTATAGCCTACGCAGGGACGCATGGACGAGCCTGAGCATTCCCGATTTCACATGGACGATTCGTGGCAATTCGCGGGCATTTGTTAACGGGTCCGCGCACTGGCTAGCCGGGCCTACAGAGGACGCTCCTTACGACTCAATCGTGGCCTTTAGTATGGAGGAGGAATCATTTGGAGAAGTCATCAAGCTGCCCCAAATGGAAGATCTCTCGCAATTCTCTCTTAATCCGTGAGGCAAAGCGACACTCTCAGTGTCATGCAGTTCGCTGGCTCTGATTGCTTTCGGTGTATGGAACCAAGAGGAATGCGGCATTTGGGTGATGAAGGAGTACGGCGTGGCCGAGTCATGGACCAAGCAACATCACATTGTGCTACCGATCGGGTTGACGGTCCAAGCGGCCTTGGGGCTTACCGGGCATGGCAAGATTTTGCTTCGCATGGTTGATGAGAAGTTGGTGTGTTGTGATGCGGAGGATATGCAGATCAGTGAGGTTGGAATCGAGGGAAGCGGCCCTGAGTCATCTTTCGATGTCATTGATTTGGGAGGAGGAGATCCTACTCTCAGGAACCAAACGGGTGGTGGTTCACGTTGACCATGCTCAACCTATAATAAGAATTAGGTTGCATAACAGTTACATAAATTTACTGATGCTTTTCAAAAGTAGATAATCATCTATTATTTTTGTAGGTTTGATGTTATGCGCATTTTGTTTTGTATTCTAAGATACTTATCGTCCAATTTCGGCACCTATCGCCAAAATTATTATGATCAATAACCTTATCTGTACGTGTCATTCAGAAATAATTGTCGTTGCAAAACTCAAGATTTTCTTATGTGTGTGTTTCACTAGAAATTGGGACCTGTCCCAATTATTATAATACTTTTCACTAAAGGTTCATCTTTGGTTTGTTGTTAAACGGTTCAGTGGCGATTGTGATAGGAATTAAATTATTATTTTTTTGTCCAAAAAAATTGTATTTATTGCTTAAAAAGATATATTAAGTAAAGTTCGTGACTAAACAAATCGAAACAGAGCAAAACCTAGAATACTGCAAAACAAAGCCAAATCTGAAAAACATGGAGGATCAACGCAGCACCAGCAAGATTTTTAAAATCGATTTTTTAATTCAATTGTTTCTTTGTCTTTTTTATTATTTTTTCTTCTTCTCTGGTCGGTCGCCAGCCACGGCAATAAATGACCACAGGCGAGCTCGAGCTTTGCCACAGGCCGGCGAGGCCACGCGAGTCACGGCGAGCTTGCTAGATCTGGTGAGGCTCAAGGTCTCGCAACCAGAGAGCTCGCCACAACTCGTGAGGCCTCGAGCTTGCGAGTTGGCGAGTGAGCAAGCGAGCAAATGAGCTAGATCATGACTCGCAAGGCTTCGAGCGTTGCCAATCTAGTGAGGGTCGAATTCGCCCGTGGCCGGCGGCCGGCCGAAGAAGAAGGAAAAGAAAGAAAGAAAAGAACAAAAAACTAATTAAAATTTAGAATTTTAAAAACAGAAAAAATAAAAAATAAAATAAAAATAAAAATAATTAAAATGAATGGTGAAAGGAGGAGAAAGAGTAAATCATTTTCCCCACTTTTGAATATGTTTTTTCCATTGACGGAAATTGTTTTCTTTGACTTGTTTATTTTCCGTAAACTGAATGTCAGAAAATTCGGAAAACATTTTTTTGGAATTTATTTTCCGCAAAACAAGCGAAGCCGCAAAGAGTTTTCTAGTCTAAATGTAATAAATTATAAACAAAGGATGCACTATTTGCACACCATTTTGGCTAAAAAACACACCTTGTTGAATGAAATGACTACTATTTCGACCCCCCTACCCCCCAAAAAAAATGAAATGAATTGAATAGTATGCCCTATCTTCTCTCTCACCCGTTTATCTTTCTCAGTTTTCTCTTCTCATTATGGACAGTTTTCAGATATTTCTCAGGCCCCTCTTGTTAGTTTCTTGCCACCATCTCTTTAGTTTTCATCTTCCAAATAATAATAGATGACATTTTTTGTATGTTTGAGAATTTAAGTAGTGTAAGGGAACAAGTTAACTAGATCTTCATCTGTCTTATCTTGGTTCATTGCTAGAAAGAAATTGTTGGTTAGGTGTTAGAAGTTCGTCCTCCTGGGGTATCATCGAAGTGTCTCGCGATTTGTTATGAGCAAATCAAATTCATGGAGAAACTAGACTGCTTTTCAATCTTCTCCTCCTATGTCACTTCCAACATTTATTTAATTGTTAATACCTTCGTAAGCGTTCCAATAAATAACCAATATTTATTTCCACAAACTTTGAAAATGAATAAATAATGTCAAAAAATAATATCTCGATTTAGCAAATCATTTCAAACACAATCAAACAATTTCTAGTTATTATCTTGATTTCTATTTCTTTCCGAGGGTATTTTTATAATCACACCCTTTGTTTCATTGAAGTAATCGCAATTTGTGAAATCTCTTTCTTGCCGCAATATTACATAGGGGTGAACAAAACGGTCAACCAGATCGGGAACCACCTGAACCGGACCGAATCGGATGGTTTTGGGTGGTTCATAGGGGCATGAGTTTGGTTCCCAGTTCCATGAATGGAACTGCCTACCCAGACCACCCGACCAAACAGACTGTTTTTTATTTTTTATTTTGAATGTCTACAAATATGTAAAATACTGAAAATAAAAACTAAACCTAACCTAAGCTCGGCTCTATCACGCACAACTTTAGTCTTCGGTCTTCACAGTTTGTGAATCATGGATCTTCCTTCACGCCTTCAGCTCCAACTGAAACAGAGGACGATCATTCTCTTTGCCCTTTTGTGAAGAGTGTTGCAACCTCTCCGAACCGGTGCACCATCTAGGGTTTGGCTAATGGACTATTAAGTTTAAACTTAACTCGAGCTCTCCCAAGCCCATACAAATTCGCGATTTATGGTTCGAGTTTTTAACATGCAAATGATTTTTATCTGGGAGTTGCCGCTAATCAGTTTTTGATGGATTGATTAGATATCCAAGTAAAGCAATAAAAGAATTACCTTACTCCTGTAAACCAGAGATTCAATGAGTTCATGGGCTTGATTACACTAGTCACCAAACTTGTGCCCTTTCGGTACCCCTAACCTTGTTGAATCACCGACTAAAGTGATCATGCAGCAATCTTACCAGTTATGAGTTTTAAAGTCCTATTCCTAACCAGGTTAAAGGGAAACAACAATCAGGATATCGAAAGTGCGCAATCAAGTAATAATCGAAATAGAAATGCGCAAACAACGACCCGACATTTATCTCCGAGATCATTCAAAATCTTACAATGAAGAAGCCCAAAGAGCTTGTTCAATTATGAGCACAATTTTTTTACGAAAGATTTTCACACATTTTTAAGGAAAACTACTCAAAATCTAGTTTATAAGCTTTTTCCTAATTTTTAGAAAAAAAAAATTTTCGGAATTTTTTTATTTTTTATTTTTTATTTTTTTTGTAAGTTTTAAAATAATTTTCCTAAAAAGATATATATGTATTTAGAGAAAGGAAAATAATTTTTAATCTAAAAAGGGGGACCCTGATCGGATCTCCGGATCCGGTCCGGGTTGGGACTGACCCCGGGTCACAAGGCCCTAGGGGCTTGGTCGGACTGGGCTTAACGCATGAGCCCAGTCCGGCCAAGCCGAAACTCTCTCGGAAAGAGCCCAAACCAAGCCCAACTCACTTCGATTTTTTCTTTTTTAGCCGGACCCAACAGACAAAACAAACCCATACACGTGCGGCCCGAGTTTGCCAAACCCGCGAGCCGAGCCCAACCCGGACCCAAGCCTAGCCAACCCGACTTTCACGCTTCTTCTGACCCCCCCGGCCCTCGGCAGCCGCGACGGAGACGGCCCAAACGAGCGGCGCCGCTCGTCTCGGCCCGGCCGCGCGCGCGCGCCCTTGCGTTGCCTCGGCCTCCACCTGGCGAAAGCGGCTCGGCCTAATAATGATCGGCCTCTGCGTGGGGCGACCACCCCCACCGACGCCAACAGTCCTTCGACGCCCGTCTAGTGCCGGTCCCTGACTGACCTCAACACCCCCGGCCGAGGGCCATACCCCACGGCCGGACGCCAAAACAAACAAAAAAGGGCGGGGCCGGGGCGAGCGAAAACCACGAGCGGCTCGCCTCGGCCCCAAACAGCGGCAAACGCAAGAACGCAACAATAGAGGAAGGTGAGCATCACACGGGAACGCCGATTCGGCGACAAATGAAGAACTGGAAATAAATCTAACTCAGGCATTCTATCGAGCAGTTGGAGTGCACTGGCTGACAGGGGAAAAACCGGAACCGACTGAGACTCAAACTCGTGCCGAGAGTCACGACAACCAACCAGCAATGACCGAAAATGATAATTGCACAAATGGACGGGTGGGGTCGAAACTCGCGCGAACCGGACAATGGCAACCCCGGTCCGACGAGCCCGAAACAGGGCAAAACAAGGCACAACATGAAAGCAAAAAAAAAAAATCACAATGAGTCCCACTGTGGCTTCGGCGCGAGGAAAGGGAAACGTTAGCGGGGGTCGTCGACCGATGCTCTGCTGTGGTGGTCACCGGAGGAGCTCTCTCAATCTCGGATCTCTCTCCCTCTCTCCCTGTTTTTCTCTCCGTCTCTCCTCTTCAGCTTCCTTTCTCTCTCTCTCTCTCTCACCCTCTCTGCTCCTCTCCCTTTGTTCCGGTCCCTCTCTTTTTTCTTGCGGGTCTCATGTTCACTTTTCTTACTCTTCTTCCTTATTTCCGTTTTCTCTCAAGAGGCAGAGAAATAGAAAATCGGAAAGAAATGGTCATGTCCTTGTGCTCGCATATCCTAGTCAGGGGCCACATCAACCCACCATCGGGACGTTGACGAAGCCCTCCGCCTCCTTGACCACCTCTGTCTCCACAACAACAGATCCAACTCGCTCAACCTCAGCAGCGTAGTTCACGCTCTTTGCGATGCAAAACGGTTCAAGGAGGCCCACCATTGGTTTGCCTCCTTCGTTTCGTTTGTTTATCGTCCTAGACGAACATTATCAGTGCTATATTACTAGATTCTCGTGGCCCTGTTGTGGGTCATTGGGTGTTTGGCTGATGCCAAACATGTGTTCATGGACTAATTTTAACTCGGTGATTGATCAATGGAGCTATATTTCGAGACTAGGTTATAGGCATAGAATGTTTCTAGATATGAGGAGCATGGGCATTGTCCGAGCTGCATTACTTACACTACTTTGATCAACGGGTAATTTAAGGTGTGCAAAGTGAGGGCTGCACAAAAACTGCTTGATGAAATGGTTAAAGACATTATAAGGCTCAATTGTTGGAAATATAGAACATTGGTCGGTGGATTTTTTCGACAATTAGATAGGGAGAAGGCGAGGAAGTTGATTCTCAGGCACTGAGAGGAAATGAAATGTCAAGAGGATTTGCTCGTGAGCAACGTTGCTTTTGTGAATCTTACTGATTTTTTGTGCAGAGAAGGGGTTTCGATAAAGCGTTCCCAAGTGCAAAGGGTATGCCTCAAGGCCGCTGCCCTCAACCTCCCCATCACCCTTACTAGCTCCTCCTCCTCATGGCACGAACGCCTTCACCTGCGCCGGGCTTATTAAATGCAGAGTACACATCCTTCTCATGTCTCGTTAGTATGTGTCATTCTCTGCGAACATGATCCCCTTGTTGCCATAAGACATGTGGCATAGAGCCTTCGCTTAGCGGCTCCAGAAAGTGTTGTCATGGATCATGAGGACCATCTTAGCCGCCTCCACCAACACAAGCGTGGAATTTCTTTGCCTCTTTATTGCTAGAGAAGGAAGAAGACAAATGAAGGTGAACGTAAGAACCATAATAAACGAAATAGAAAATTAAAAAAAGGGATACGACTAGCAAAGATGGAATACTTTCTTAGAACATACGTCGAAGATGGATGCTAAAAAGTGGGATCCACCAAGGACAATATAGTTAAATTACAGTGTTGAGGAGTGTTTTAGCCAAAAAGGAAGTAGAAAAAGCACGACCCTTTAATTATACTATTTTGTTTTTAGGGTTAAGAATTAATCCATAATTTTTTTTTGTAATTTATCACTAAATGTTTAGCCAAAATTTAGGTGTTAATAAATAGTAGGAGGAGCTGAGCTGAGCCGAGCCCCTGGTTTTCAAGAACAGACGACAAACCCACAAGAATGTTGCCTGTAAAGGACATCAAGAACCAACAGCACAAAAAATGAAAAAAAGTAAATAATCTTCATCTTCTATAATGCCTTTTACTCTGGTACAAATATACATATTGCCCCAAAAAGACAAAAAAAAAACGAATACAAAAATAAAAATCCCATTCCCCTGCATGCCTCTCCCATTCTAGCATTGCGCTGCAGACTCGAGCCCGTTTGCTCTTCGCACCGACCCACAAAGCTTCAAGCTGAGAGAAAGAACACGAATTATTATGAATTCACTGGTTCCATTGAACCGCCTGAGAATTAGACTGGTCAGGTCCGAACTCAAGACCAGACGATCTGGTTCCCAATTCCACTAATTGGGAACCGATCATACTGTTCCGGCTCCCGGTTCCTGGATGGGACCGGACTAGATCGGGAACCGATGATCCCTAATATTACAGCTACAGCAATTTATTATGGGAATTTCAACATGAACTTCTCCCGCCACCAAAATAGGTTAATCCATTGCCCAAGAAAAAATTGTGGTCCGACACTCTTATTGTGCTGAGAGTCAAGGAACCGTGACACGCATCCTCCTATATTATATTACTAACATTTATTTGATTATTAACAACTTAGTAACCATACCAATAAATTATCAAAACTATTTTCCCAACATATCAACATGTTGAAGTTACCATCTCTCATACAAAACTGCTAACTTTGTTATGTTACCAACTAGTTTGAGATTATCAAATTATATTTTAGCCACTTATCATATTACCAACGTTGATTATGTCGTTTCGGAATTACCAAATTCTTTAATAACATATCAATTCTATTGAAATTACCAACTATTTTATAATAATACTCCTTATTTGAAGTGCTTACCAAATTTCTTGACAAAGTTATCAACTAGTTTTTGTTACCTACTCTTGCTCGAACCACTTACTAATGTTTTTTTTTTAATTGATGTCATTCATATTCTTGAGCTGTAATGAATCAAAAAATAGTGTTCTCCTTTTACGAATTGTTTACATGGCCAGCGTGGTGTGACCAATCCACATTGTCCATGTGGTGTGCCTCGCAACCAACTATGCATTAGAATTTGAAAATTCTCACACGTCATCGTCTTAGTTCATACGTGCCATTGTCACGTGATACCTCTGACACACAATCTACCTTCTCATCTTTTAAAGACGACTTAATTACAAGTTGCTCTCATTGTCCGGACGTATTTGGGATAGAATCCGGAACAAAATCATGTATTATGTAGATGGAGAATCAGATTGCCTTCCTTCAAACCAACCTAAGTGTCAGATTTTTCTTTTCCTCCACAGTATCTTATTTATATCCATGTTTTTCCTTATTCAGTTATTTTTCTTTATATTTTGGCCGTCTTTTTCTTATTCAACCAAAGTCCCGCAGATTTTCTCGCAAGTTTTGACTAATTGCAAGATCAGTGAGTCTGACTGATACTGCTTCTTGCTTGTCCTCTTTAGTTCCTACCAATCTGTCTCCCGGTCCACATGAGTACCATGGCATCGCTCTCCGGTATCTTTCCATTCAAAGTTATGGTCGAAATACTCGCTTGCTTACCAGCCCGGTCTCTCGTGCGGTTCCGGTGCGTCTCCAAGTCGTGGCGTTCACTCTTGTCCGAGCCATGCTTCGTGAAGAAGTGGTTGAATTGCAGCGGGACTTCCCTACTGGTGGTCCCGTTGGAATGGGAAAATCGTGACAAATGCTCTTTAGTGTTTGAAAATGTGTCCATCGGGAAGGAGAATTTGAGGCTGCCACTGGGGAACAGATGGTTTTCGTTATCTGTGGTCGGTTCGTCTGGCGACGGCGATCTAATTTGCTTGACCGGGCTTTCTTACATAAGCCATCGTGAGAGCAAGCAAACTGTTATCCTGTGGCGTCCGTTCACAGGCGAAGTCAAGGCCCTTGACAGCGAGGGTTACATCTATTGCCACCACAGGCCCCTTTGCTCCGAATCTCTAATTCAGGGCTACAATTCGGGATGTTGCAGTCATTATAATGTCCACGGTTTCGGGTACGAGCCAAATGCCCGGGACTACAAGGTCGTGAGGATTACTTATTCGGGTGGCGTTGCGAGGCGAGCTGTTTCTCCTCTAAGACCATGGCATATCGAGGTTTATAGCCTAGGCAAGGACGCATGGACGAGCCTGAGCATGCCCGATTTCACATGGACGATTCGTGGCAATTCGCGGGCATTTGTTAACGGATCTGCGCATTGGCTCACGGCGCCTACAGAGGACGCGCCTTACAACTCAATCGCGGCGTTCTGTATGGAGAAGGAATCATTCGGAGAAGTCATCGAGCTGCCCCAATTGGAAAATCTCTCGGAATTCTCTCTGAATCCGAGAGGCAAAGCGACACTCTCGGTGTCATGCGGTTGGCTGGCTTTGATTGCTTTCAGTGTATGGAACCAAGAAGAATGTGGAATTTGGGTGATGAAGGAGTACGGAGTGGTCGACTCCTGGACCAAGCAGCATCACATTGTGGTACCGATCGGGTCGACGGTCCGAGCGGTGTTGGGACTTACCGAGCGTGGCAAGATGTTGTTTCGCATGGTTGATGAGAAGTTGGTGTGTTGTGATGTGGAGGATATGCAGACCAGTGAGGTTGGAATCCAGGGAGGCGGCCCTGAATCATCTTTTGATGTCATTGATTTGGGAGGAGCAGATCCTACTCTCAGGAACCAAGTGGGTCGAGGTTCACCGTTGACCATACTCGACCTCCAATAAAGAGTTAGGTTTCATATATTCACAGAAAATCTACATATGCTTTTTCTAAAATAGATAATCATCTAGTTTTTTTTTTAGTTTTAATGTGCGCATTTTACAATATCCCCTAAGATGCTTATCATGCAAGTTCGGAACCTATCCACTAAGATGGGTAAGAATTATTATGATTAATAAATTTATGTAGTCTGTCATTTAGAAATAGTTGTCGTTGCAAAACTAAATATTTACTTATATATATGTGTGTTTCCCTAGAAATCGGGACTGATCCCAATTAATATCATACCTTTCACCAAAAGTTGATTTTTGGTTTTAGCTGATTGATTTCAATCATATTCTTGAGCTAGTGACAAATCAAAAAGTCGTGTTCTCCTTTCAAAGATGCATTTTACATAGCATTCACATGGCCGACTTGGTGTAACCAACCCATATTTTCCATGTGGTGTGCCTCGCAACCAATTATATATTATAATTTGAAAATTCTCACATGCCACTATCTAGCTTCGTCACGTGGCATTGCCACATAATATCCCTACTAATAAAATACCTTTTCATATTTAAAGGCAACTTAATTAGAAGTTGCTCTTTTTGTTAGGACGTATATGGGATAGAATCAGGAACAAAATCATGAATTGTGTGAAATGGAGAATCAGATTGCCTTCCTTAAAACCAACCTAAGTTTGAGATTTTCTTTTCCTTCATAGTATCCTAGCAATAATTCTAACTACATCCATGTTTTTCTTTATTTGGAGATTTTATTAATTTTTTGGCAGTCTTTTGCCTATTTAACTAACGGCTACATCAGTCACCACATACATGTATCAACTTATGCTTCACCAAAGTCCCACAAATTTTCTCACATGTTTTGTCTAATTGCAAGATCAATGAGTGTGACTCTGTTTCTTGCTCTCGTCCTCTTTAATTCCTAGCACTCTTTCTCCCCGTCCATATGAGTACCATGGAATCACTCTCCGGTATCATTCCATCCAATGTTATGGTCGAAATCCTCGCTTGCTTACCAGCCCGGTCTCTCATCCGGTTCCGGTGCGTCTCCAAGTCATGGCGTTCACTGTTGTCCGAACCGTTCTTTGTGACAATGTGGTTGAATCGCAGCGGGACTTCCCTCCTAGTGGTCCCGTTGGAATGGGAAAATCGCGACCAGTGCTCTTTAGTGTTTGAAAACGTGTCCATCGGGATGAAAAATTTGAACCTACCTGTAGGGGACAAATGGATTTCGGTATCCGTGATCGGTTCGTCCCGTGACGGCTCTCTAATTTGCTTGACCGGGCTTTCGTACACACGCCGCCGTGCGAGCAAGCAAGCCATTATCCTGTGGAGCCCGTTCACAGGTGAAGTCAAGGCCCTTGGCAACAAGGGTTGCGTCCATTGCCATCGTTGGCCTGTTTGCACCGAATCCCTAATTCAGGGCTATAATTCAGCATGCTGCAATCAGTATCTTGTCCACGGTTTCGGGTATGAGCTGAATGCCCGGGATTACAAGGTCGTGAGGATTACTTATTCTCGCGGCGTTGTGAGAGAAGATGATTCTCCAATAAGGCCATGGCTTGTCGAGGTTTACAGCCTACGCAGCGACACATGGAAGAGCCTGGGCAGGCCCAGTTTCACCTGGACGGTCCGCGGCAATTCACGGGCATTTGTCAACGGTTCTGCGCATTGGCTCGCGGCGCCTACAGCGGATGCACCTTACAACTCAATCGTGGCCTTTGATATGAAGGAGGAAGCATTTGGAGAAGTCATCGAGCTGCCCCGATTGGAAAATCTCTTGCAATTCTCCCTGAATCCGAGAGGCAAAGCAACGCTCTCGGTGTCACATGGTTCCCTGGCTCTGATCGCTTTCGGCATATGGAATCGAGAGGAATGCGGCATTTGGGTGATGAAGGAGTACGGCGTGGTTGAGTCCTGGACTAAGCAGCATCACATTGTGCTACCAATCGGGTCGACGGTCCGGGCGGCCTTGGGACTTACCGGGCGTGGCAAGATGTTGCTTCGCATGGTTGATGAGAAGTTGATGTGCTGTGATGTGGAGGATATGCAGATTAGCGAGGTTGGAATCCAGGGACGCGGCGCGGAGTCATCTTTTGATGTCATTGATTTGGGAGGAGGAGATCCTACTCTCAGGAACCAAGCGGGTCTAGATTCACTGTTGACTATACTCAACCACAAATAAAGATTTAGGCTTCATACATTTACAGAAATTTACATATGCTTTTCAGTAGTAGATAATCGTCTGCTGCTTTCGTAGTTTGGATGTTGTTCTATGCATTTTATTGTATTCCCTAAGATCTTATTGTCTAAATTTGGCACTTCTCAACTATATGTATAATGTATCATTTAGATATGGTTGCCGTTTTAAAATTTAAAAAAATTTGTCTTCTAGATTTTTTATATATGAACTCATGAATGTCGCAGCAACTGTGCAATTTTATTTCCTATGGATGGTCAAATTTCTAAACTGAGGATGAATATGTTCTACCTTTTCTTTCTGCATACCAAGTTTTTTCCTTTTATTTGGTTCTTGACGAAGGCACGATCTATAGAAGATTATTACTTTGTCATCAAACTTGGAATTCCTCAGTTTGTTCACAGGTTACACTTCCATTCGACACCAAACTAATTACATTTCATGGAGAACATATATTGATCTTATTGTCTGAAATGAATTAAGGTGTATATACCGCAAGACAAATCAAAGGATAACGATAGTGGAAGTTCTAAACCATGTGCTGATCCGTCACTTTAGTTCATAAACTTTTTTTCTGGGTCATTCAAATCCTAAAACTTCTCGTCATTCTTTACGTTAGTTCTTCTGTTAACCTTGTTGATTTTTCTTGAACGGAAAATCCGTGCGGCTTTTTCATATTTATTTTTCTTTTAATTTTTGTACAATGGCTGAAAGGGCACCAAATAGGCGCGACATCAGGAACGCTAGAAATTAAAGAAAAGATTAAAATTAAAAAATTAAATGACAGAACACAGAGCACATTCCAACCCTAATCGACTGAGCTGGCATTACACATATAAAGTTCTTCAGTTTTGGGGCAAAACATATCATCATATATGTTTGGCTTCCGCATATCATAAGACACTGTACTAGGTCTTGTCCTTGTTCTTTCCCGATCCATACGAATATCATGGAATCGCTATCCCGTATCTTCCGCCGGATGTGATCGGTACAATACTCAGTGTCATTGCCAGTGAAGTGTCTGGTCATAGATTCATGTGCGTTTCTAAGGCTCGGCTTTCTGTCTTGTCCAAACCGTACTTTGCGACGTTGTGGATGGATCGCGGACGAAGCCAGTCTCCTAGCAATCCGGTCGAGTACATCCGGACATGGAATGTGTTCTTTTGTATGTACAAGCGTGCAAATGGGCCCAAAAAATCTGACAATTCCGTTTGCTGCCGGGGTCCCCGCTGAACCATCATCTGTGGTGACTTCATCGAATTATAGTGCCCTTAATTTACTTGATCAAGCTCTCACCTGAAGGCCATTGCATGACTAAGCAAGTTGTTACCATGGGCAAATTCAAGACTCTTGACAACGACTGTTACGCCAATTGGAGTTGGCCTTTGCTGCCCCGCATCTCTTATTCAAGGCTACGCTAGGGGCTGCTGCAGTCAATATCTTGTTTATGGCCTTGGGTATAAGCTAGACTGCCGTGGATCACATGGTTGTGAGGGTTGCTTGTTCGTGCGACAATGCGAGAGGACTTTATGCTCCAATGAGAACATCAGACGTTGAGATTTATAGTCTAATCAGCAACACATGGAGAAATTTGGAGGAACCCGATAATACGTGCTTGGTTCGAGGCAATTCACGTGCATTAGTTAAGGATCAGTGCATTGAAGGCAGCACCAGGAAAGCACCCGAATTCAATTCCATAGTGTCGCCTGTTTTTAGAGGAGGAAGTATTGGGAGAAGTCATGCTACCAGATTCCGAATAGCTACTTAGATTCCATCTAGATCCAAGAGGCACCGTGACACTCTCGGTGTCGCAAGATTCACTGGCTCTTGTTGCTATTTCTGTAATGTACCATGGAGACGTTTGTGCCATTTGGGTGATGAGAGAGTATGCTGAGGCTGAATCCTGGAGCAAACAATATCACATTGCGCTACCAACCGGACTTGTGGTAACAGAGAGGGATGGTACGGTTTTACTTCGCCGAGAGAATGAGAGGTTGGTGCTCTGCGATATGGAGAACACGCGAGTCGGTGAGGTCGAAGCCCGGGGAGACTCGTGGTCACGATTCGGTGTCATTGATTCCGGTGAAGAAGGAGAACCTAGTCTTACTCTCGACGATACGTGGCTTGAGGCCGTGGCCGGCGAATGATCATATTTTACCCCTAACACACAGTCTGTTTACTACTAATTACTACCGTATACCTCTCACACTCTGCAATGTCTATACTTTGGAAGTTTGCATCGAATGTTTCCCTCTTTCCTCTCTCGCTGAAAATGTACGGAACTCATTGTCAACGAAGATATATAACCACAAATGCATGAGCTAATTATATATTCGACTTATTTAACAGGGTTGAAATTAAATAATAATTATAAGTAAACATTAGTTAGCTTACATGGGAAGCAAATTATTATTTTAACTTTATTTTATCCAGTGCTGATGGCAATAAGAGATTTAGATATCTCAAGATAGATAATAAGTTGATTTACGACTTAGATGAAATAATTAGGGTCAATAACAATGAAATTCAGTTGATTATGTTTGCTTTATTATACAAAAGAGATTAATAGTAGAGATAATTTGACATCGATTATTTCATTCCAAAATAAAGCCAACTATAGGATTAGCATGATCGTCTTTTTATGAGAAACATTGTGTCGATAATTAATTTTCCAATAGCAAGTGTTAGATCATTAACATAAAGCACTCTTATATGACTAAATTCATCCCGCTTTCATTAAATTGAAAAAATTCATCTTTTGATGGTTTCCATAATTTCACACTTTTCATGAATTTAGTTATTTTCCTATTTCAGGTTTCCTTCATAATTAAACTTATCGTTATTAAAAAAAAATTGGACCTCTTCTTCATCATTGCTCTTGTCTAAAGTTATCCATTTTTTTGTCACTCGTACATTGAAGGCTCACTTTTGTGGTCAATTTGTGATGTGTTATTCGATTAGTTTTCGAAAGAAAATAAAGTCTCTTTATTTACTATATCAAAGAATTGCTGACTTTCTTCTACCATTGATAAGACACTTTCGCACAAACATGTAATCAGTTATAAAAGTAATTAAAAATACACTGAAAATAATGACTTATAAAAGTTATGCATATTGAGGCACCTTGATATATATTTTTTGTGTAAAAACTCCATGATTGGTATTAACCTTTGTCAATCCTAAAATAATGAAATTTAACTGTCATTTTAAAGTTCTTATTTTCATTTTATTTTAAGTCTTGATTCAGTTAAGTTTGATCTTTTAACTTTCCATGTTGAAGAATATAATTGTGATTTTATATGGACAAATCTTTAGAGAGAGTTTTTTTTATTCGGTTATCCATCGTGTATATATAAAGGATAATTAACAAGAAAGAGTTTGATGTCGATATGCGCCACAAAATTAAACCTTAATGAATATTTAATTGCGTTAAAAAGTTGTTTATGATCAAATTCGTATGGATATACGACAATTAATCTAGAAACTTGCTCGACAAACGTGTAAAGGAACTAGGTTTCTTGGAAATTTCTCTATCCGATATTGCACACCCATTGAAGCTAAAAACACACCCTTTTATGACTAGAATACTCTAACTTCTCTCATCCTTTCATCGTTCAGTTTTCTCTTCTCATTATGTATAGTCTTTTAGAAATTTTCTCAAGAACTCATCCCCTCTTGTTAGCTTCTTGCCACCATCCCATCCATTAATCGAGTGTTTATCCATGATTTCATCTTCCAAATCATGATATTCGACGTATTTTTTTTGTTTGAGGATTTAAGAAAACGTAAGGTAAAAGGTTGACCAGATTTTCATCGCTCTTATCTTGGGTTATTGCTAGAAAGAAATTGTTGGTTTTAGGTGTTGGAAGCTCATCCTCTGTGGTTTTATGAAGACTAAAACCCGGATCTAAAAGGGCCAAATTTTCATCATGTCCTTCATAGTTAATATATATATATATATATATTGATTTGGTTTTGACTTGCTTATAACTCCTATTATGTTGCATATTATCCACAGAAGACCGGCAAAAGGTATTTGTTTTGAGCAAATCAAATTCATGGAGAAACTAGACTACTTTTTGATCTTCTCTTTTCAATCTTTGTTTGTCTTCTTTAATTGTGGGAAGAAAAAATTAGAAATGAATAAACAGTGCCTTTCCATTTCATCCTAAAAGATATTTCGAGGATGTAAATTACAAAGAAGTAAAAGAGTACATGACGCACGGACGGTGACAAGATTGAATAATTCTCCGAGCTATGGTCATAATCGTAAGAAGCTTGCGGCGGCAGGGGCGGCCTCTACTCCGATGGGCCCGACGAGGCGTCTCTGAAGTGATGAACGAAATTGTCGACCTCAGGGGAATAATAATATTTTGGGTTCTGGTAATAATAACTGGAACCTCGCGGCGACGGGTCATCCTCCAGTGTCGACGGGTCATCCTCCAATGGCGACAGGTCATCGTTGTCGTCCTCCAATGTGACATTTTGATGTATATGTATTATTGACCTGTTTTTTTTCTCATGTTCCATCTTTGGAAGGGAAAAGATATATCGTTGATGATGGAGTGCAATTGGTACCAATTGATAACATATCTCCTTTCAATTACCAAATCTTGAACATTTCCTTTTACGTGCAAAAACCTAATCCATACTTGCCAAAAGAAGAATAGTTTCCTTACTTGTGGTAAGGGTGATTCACAACAGACTATTAATGCTGATCATTAGGATTTAGGTTTAAGATGTATCAAGGGATACAGTTTTTGTGCGTCCACGAATGCAGTTTTCTTGGTTTTAATGATAAGCATTATTAGTACCAAATCTTGGGCTTACCATCAAAACCAACTAATCGGAAAACTGCATTTGTAGATTTACCATTGCCATTGTCGAAGAGACCAAACAAAACAATGCTCTTCCTTATGTGCACATAAACCGTATCCCCTGGTAGATCTCAAACCTGAATCCTAGTGATCACCATTTATAGTCTG